TGGCCTAGGTCCCCAGCTGACTGTGAAGGAGCCTGGGTCAGGACGCCAAGCAGCCCAGTCCAGAGCTCACAGTCACCAACCACTGTGCTGCTTCCTGCCCTCAGCTGATACTGAAAGGAAGAAGTAGTTCCCTCTCCCTACCTACAGAAAGCCAGTGAAGCAGAGCATGACCAACAAGCACATGCAACATGACCTCTGTCCACTGTAGGTACAAACAGAGCAAGGACCATATGTTTCAAATGCTGACTCCACCAGTTTGTATTCTTATATAAACAGTGGCAGTTGGGAGCAGTGGATTTAATCCTTCCATCCCAATGGGTTTGCTCAAATTGCCTTTGATGCAGACAACTGAGATTTCCTCAATCTTATGTGAAGTTTGAACAGAAGTATCATTATAAAACTCAGCAGGGCTCAGTGTCTCACGCCTGTCATCCCAGCTCTTTGGGAGGCTGAGGCGGGCAGGTCACTTGTGGTCAGGGGTTCGAGACCAGCCTGGCTAACATGATGAAACCCTGTCCCTAATAAAAATACAAAAACTAGCTTGGTGTGGTGGCATGTGCCTATAGTCCCAGCTACTCAGGAGGCTGAGGCAAGAGGATTGCTTGAACCCAGAAGGAGGAGGTTGCAGTGCTCTGAGATGTCGCCACTGCACTCTAGCCTGGATGACAATGAGACCCTGTCTCAAGAAAAAAAGAATTATGTGTGTTGGCTAGGTGAGGTGGCTCATGCCCATAATCCCAGCACTCTGGAAGACCAAGGCCGATGAATCACTTGAGCTTAGGAGTTTGAGACCAGCCTAGGCAACATGGTGAGACTCCATCTTCACAAAAAATACAAAAATTAGCCAGATGTAGTGATGAGTGAATGTAGTCCCAGCTACTTGTGAGGCTCAGGTGGGAGGATCACTTGAGCCCGGGAAGTTGAGGCTGCAGTGAGCCTTGATCATGCCACTGCACTCCAGCCTGGGTAATGAAGCCAGACACTGTCTCAAAAAAAGGAGAAAGAAACAAAGAAAACATGTGTGTTGATATAATCTAAATAAAAATAGTGTGAGCTGTATAAATTGGTTTTAAACAAGTCCTTTAGCCTGCTCCCACTGTTGCCCCAAACAGTCTGGGACCCTTAACCTACCTTTATATAAATCCCGAGCCCCCACTGCCTAAGCCATTCTAAAGACAGCCAGCCCCTGTCACTGAGTCACTCTCCCATCCCTTAGCCTGGAAGAAGCAGGACCAGCTTGCCCTTCACTTTCAGTTCCCTGCACCTGAGCTCCAGGCTCCAGGCTCCAGGCTCAGCTCACCTGCAGCAGCCGCAGCAGCAGCACGAGAAGCAGCAGCAGCACGAGAAGCAGCAGCAGCGACAGGTGCCTCCTGGATCTCATGGCCACACGAGAACACCCAAACAGACTCAGAACGTGCAGCTGCTAGCCAGTCCTCCAAGCTGGTGGTCTCGCCGGAGCCACACACCCTCCCTCCCAGCCAGCGGCTTCTTCTCCGATGGTTTTCAGGTCACTTTGGCCCAGATAGCTTCATCCCAGCTTGCTCCTTCCTTCTTGGCTTTTCTTGCATTTATAAGAGTGGGGCGGGCTGCTTTGTAAACCTCAACATCCGTTTGCCACAGGTAGAGTTCCTAGGAAGGGTGGGGTGGGGACTAAAGCCACCACGGTCCTGCCCGTACACAAAAGACTGGCTGGGGGCTGACCTCAGGAACAACAGCTCAGCCAGAGGAAGTAAACCAGCACCTGTCAGAAAGTAGAATTATTTGTTTCCTTGTTCATTCTAGTTTGCAAATAGAAGGCCCAATCATCTCTTTCTATAGCAAGATATGTTAATGACTATTTTCTATAACACTTATGCTCTTGAAACAAACAAGAAAACGAGAAAATGACTGCAAGAAATGATCATTTAAGGGGGAAGGGATTTGGAAGAATAAAAGAAAACAGAAAACAACTTTTACTGTCCAAAACACTAAAAATCGCCGGGCGCGGTGGCTCAAGCCTGTAATCCCAGCACTTTGGGAGGCCGAGGCAGGTGGATCACGAAGTCAAGAGATCGAGACCATCCTGGTCAACAAGGTGAAACCCCGTCTCTACCAAAAATACAAAAATTAGCTGGGCATGATGGTGCGTGCCTGTAGTCCCAGCTACTC